AGACCTCATCTCTACAATAAATCAAAAAATTAGCCGGGCATGGTAGCACGCCTGTAATTCTGGCTACTTGGAAGGCTGAGGCGGAAGGATTGCCGGAGCACAGCAGGCGAGGCTGCGGTGGCCGGGAGCGGCCACTGCACTCCAGTCTGGGCAACAGAGTGAGACTACAACTCAAAAAAATAAAAAAATAAAAAAATAAAACAATCCCAACTTTACTGTTTAGCGTGTGAGAAATTAGGTAAAATTTCAAAAGGGCTTTATAAATTTTTAAAAAATCCTATCAAAACCTATTTTTTCATTTATTATTTTAATAAACTTTTATTGAGCTGCTACTCAGTGCCTGGAAAATATAGAGTTGAACAAGATAGGAATGTACAGGTGAAAGAGGTTGAAGGAAAAAAAGTAACAATAACCTTCTGATAAACATAAATTATAGGATAATAGCTAACAGATATTTAGCACTAGTGATATGTCAGGCATATGTTTAACACTCACAACAACATTTTGAAGTAGATACTGGGGCACAGTGAGGTTAAATAACCAGCCCAAGGACACGGAGGAAAGAGACAGCAATAGGATTTAAACCCAAGCTATCCTGTTCCAGAATCCTTACCCTTAAACCTCATGGTTTTCTACTTCCTTGAGCATGTTTGGTTGGTGCTATACGAGTTACTTCAGGAAAAACTAAACTGCGAAAGAGAAGAGATGCTAGACAGAGCTTTCTGAAGAAGGTAAAACCTAAACCAAGCATTAAAGAATTAGTTAGAATTAACCAACTAGATAAAATGAGAAGGGCAATCCAGGCAGAGGAAAGAGACTGTGCTTTTCACTGAGGTGGAAAACAACAGAGTATGTTATAAGAATTTTGATTATATGACTGAAGTTAAGGGTATATGATGGGGAAGAATTGATTAAGTTGAATAGAGAGGAATGGAGTTAAATAATGGGAATCTTTCATTGCCAGACTGAAGAGTTTTGACGATGGTCTGCAGACAGTGGAAACCCATAAAGGATTTTAAACAGGAAAGTAAAATCATCAAATGTAGTTTAGTTGCCATCAGTTGGAGTTCTCTGGATGCAGGCAACAGAAATCATTCCCTGATTAAATCAAGCAGAAAGTAAATTGGCTGTAATTAACATGAAGGAGGTAGAACAAAACTTAAAAAAAGAAAAAAAAAAAGACCTGAGCATGCCTTTCTGGGCACGTGGTTAGCAGGAAATACTGTCTCTTCATGATATTTTCTTTGCTTCATCCTGTGTAACTCTGTTCAAAATTAAGTCTTTAAAAAGTGAATCCAGTTGACCTTTCTTATGCCAGATGCGAATCTCTTAGCTAGAAGAGAGCAGAGAACTTTGATTTAAAGTCCCCTTCTCCCAAAATTTTTCACAGTTAGGAATGAATAATTCCCGAAAAAAGTATTTGGGAGCTGTTGATAATAGA